TTGTAACAATTTAAAAAAAGGTTTCTTTCAAATATTTAAAAACGCATGCATTAACATATCTGAAATATGCGTCAATATCATAAATTTAAAAATGGATGAGCCAATGCTTGCTCTGCGGTAATACGTGTCCTGAAATCTAAATCTAAAAGTTTCATCAAAAGATGATACGCCTCCTTTGGATATTCAATATCTGGCGGTACCTTAAAGTTTTATAATATTTTGAGATAAAAATAAAGATATTATATACATCTGAAGCAACAAGGAGAAAAATTAGACATAAAAATTTAATTTTCGCGTTAAAGGCAATTCTATTTGACAACAAAATGAAATTATATCACGAATATTCTACGTTCACAATGATTTTAATATTTTTTAACATAAAATAAAACAAAAAAGATTCAATCAATGATTATATCTACTTTCTCCTGCTATATTGCTTCATTAAATAAAAAAGACCACTTAAAATATAAACGAGATATACCTTATGTATACTATTCTGTATATCACATATCATACTTTTGTTTCTTTGTTTTAACTTTATGCATAAAGATTTAATGTCCACGCCTGGCAAATTTTCACTAAAGATAACCTTTTTGCCTGAATTAAATAAAAAGAAAATAAATAACATAATAAAAATTAATATAAAAAATTAATAGAAATTAAAGAAATGAAAAAAAATTTGAATAAATAAATCAGAAAAAAACTCGAATAAATAAATCATTTGTCATAACCACAGTATTTGTAAAAATACCTAATTTTTGTGCACACTTTTGTACTTCTTTAGAGCCAAATATCGTTGTAATTTCTGCTAAAGCTGTACAATCATCAGGTGAACGAAAAAACGGTTGTGAACCACTAAGTATGCATAGCATTATTACACCACAAGCCCAGATATCAATCGCTGAAATTTCATATTTCACTTTTTTAGTTTCTACAGATATTTAATTTCTAGAAATGGTTTTATGCATCGTGCCAGTATTAATACCTGATGTTTGCATAACATGTTTTAGTAAAACCTCTGGAGCACGAAATCCAGGTGTGCCCGCACGAGGTGCCTGCTGCTGCGATTCTTTTAAACATATTACGCAAATTTTAGGTTTTCCAAAACAGTTGCATTTATTATTCACGTTTCTTTTAGCAGGATCAGGTTGGAGGCTTACGTTATTCTAAAACAAATTACAATGAAAAAGAAACATGTAAATCATTTCAATAAGTGATAACTCGTAAAATGTTACTCCACTTCATTCGATCTCTTCCGCTTTGTCCCATGTGCTTCAATGCTTTCTCCGCTTGTTCTCATATTTTTCTCCACATAATATTCTTGCGCAAGACCAAAATCCACTAATAAATATCTAAATAAAAAATTGTGTTAATCATTTTTCGAGATGTAGAAAACAAAGTGTTTTCCTTTCGCACAAGTTTACCTTTTATTTTTACGATCATAAAGAAAATTACTAGGTTTTACATCCCTGTGTATGATATGAAATTTGTGAACTCTTCTTAAAGCAGTTAATAGTGCTCTCATATAATCCTTTGTTTCGTCAATAGTCATATCTTGGACGTATTCCTTGTCGTAATTATCATTGTGAGTATTTTTGATTTTACAAAATAAAGATTTGAATGTAAATTGCAAACTTACCGCGAACCTATCATGCCTCATATATGGCATTACAAATACTACTGAACTGCGATGCCTCAAACACAATTCTAACTCAACGATGTAATCTTTTCCTCTAAAATATTCAATACGTTCTCATTAATGTTAACTATATTTATATGAAATAATGGTACATTGTTTCGGACTAAATTTATCTAACGTACCCTATCTGTTGCAAATACTGCAATTCGCGTCTGATCCTATCGGGATGGCAGGTAGGAATTAATTGTTTCAACGCAAATTTCTTACGTCCATTGGAAGATTTTAGAGTAGCTAGAAAAACAGAGCTAAACGCACCTTTTCCAACTTTGTAATGCACGTTGAACAATTTATTCACTATCGGAATTGATGACGTAAGACTAGCACAGCTATCTGCTAGAACAACAGTATATATCATTATTAAACATATATATATATATATTTCATCAAAAACAACATTAAAATATTTATTTTGATAAGAATAATATCAATCCTCTGAATTTGATAAACGCCAAAATTTGTAATAAAATTATGATACTAGGTCTATAAGACCCATTTAATTTATATTAATTAAAAGGCACTAATTAATTTCAAAGAATTAAAATGATATAACTCGTGTAAAAAAGAATGAATAGAGAACTAAGTTTATCTGAATATGAGTAATTCAAATTTATAGATTTAATATATAGAAAATTGAATTGTTTAACATTTTTATATAAAATGGCAATTACTACAATAATAGGTATAAGAATTAAGATGTAATGATAAGGCAAAAAATATATTGTAGTTGAATTTAATAATAGTAAAAATACATAATTATATTTAAGTTTATTATTAGTAAATTCAAATATAATAATGCATCTGTTTTTTAATTTAACATTACTTCACAGAGAAAACTGAAATATCTTTACTCATCAGAATCATTAGATGCTTTCCAGTAAAAGATATAGATGACATATGTAACATAATGAATCATTGTATTCTTGTTGTTTGCTAGTGTTCAAGACTGGGCATTGTATTTTAAATACTTTTATTTAAAACATAGTAGTTGCATTTCAAGTATATTTTGTATTTTGTATTTTAGCAGAATATATGACAGTATTACGTATTTTTTGTATTTAAAATCGAAAGATAAGTTTTTTTGTATTTTGTAATATTTTTGTAAATAATAAGATTGATAGTCAATTCTAGTATTTGAAATACAAAATACAGAATATTTTTATATGCTCCAATGAAATACAAAATACAAAATATTCTCATGTATTCCACTGAAATACAAAATACAATGGTCTTACAAATATTATTTTTTAAATAAAATTATTTCAAATACATGTCCATCTCTGCTAATATTAAATTAAGATAAAATGGTCATTGTGCTGTTGAACTTCTTACTGGAAAACACCTAATTTGTTATCCGAATAATCACTGCATAAAGAATCTAGTAGACCTATGTCAGCTCCGGAAAGTTCTGATTGAGTAGAAGAGCTAAATTGAATGGAAGATTGATATTCCATTAATACTTCCGAATCATAATAATTAAACAAATTTTAATTCTTATAGTTCAATCCATAAATCATTTATAAATCAATTAACAATAAAATAACATGTACAAAATACTTGAAATACTGCACAAAATTGCTACTCCATGACAAAGAGAATTTATCTAAAAAAAATAACAGAACCCAATAGTTTACTTTTAAAGTAACTGATGGAATAATAAAACTGCGTATATATTTATATAGCATAATGTAAATATATCTCTATAGTAAATAAAATAGCAATCTTTTTCAAGAGGAAGAATAATACCGTCATCACTATCTTGATACGAATTATTGAATTCCATTCTGTCTTCTATTTCTGGAATATTTTTAGTTCATGATATCAATTATATCAATATGTTATCAAACTCATTTTCTTCTACGTTCGTGTCATTCACTGTTAATGATTACTTCCTACTTAATTAGTAGCGTAATACAGCTGGTGTAACTTGAACATAACCTTAGAAATTGGCGCCATATTCGTGCATATCTTCGCGCCATTTGTGGCAGGTGCGAAAAGGCCAACTCTCATGAGATTAAAGTTAACGTTTGTAAGTTGATAGTTGGTTACAAGATAGAGAATTTCTGGAAACTCGAAAACCTTTCTATCTTACAACCAATAAACAGCTTAAAAAATTTGTTCAAGTCAAATGAAGTATTAACCTAATTGTTTTTCTATATTAAACAACAACAAAAAATCAATAATTCTATGATTTTATAAATCTAAATTCTAATAAAATTATTAAGTATTAATAATATATTAAAAAATTACATGTTTAAAAAAGAAAATAGATATCACTTATTAAATTAATCACTTATTATAATCCAAAAAACAAAATTTTGAATTAATTATTCTGATCTTTTTCTTTTATATATTAAATATAAATAACAAATTAGTAATTTTATTTAATTTGTTCCTCTAATTTTTCTCACTTGTTAAAAAACAATAATACGTATTAGTAGAATAATATAAATATATTATTTTAAAATAGTATCAATAAAATAGTGCAAATATTACTCGATAAGTTATAATTACGGATTTGTCGAATCGGCAAAATTGCTCAAAAGAAAATTTTGAATTATACAATCGTTAAATTAAAAATTTTTTTCTTTACGTATGAATAACAATAGAAAATCAATAATTTTATCCGGCTAAACAATTATACGTATATTACATTGTTTTTAAATTGATTACAATTTCAAAATTGATTTTTTGGACTAAAATATGAAATTCCTTTATTCTGTACGCGATTGGTTCATTTCTCCGCTCATCTATCTACACCTATCTTGATTGTTTCATGCAATTATTTAAATCTATCCGCGCAAATTTTTGCAGCACCTCGAAAGATCTTGAACGATAAAAATTATTTAAATTACTTACGATATTAACTAAAGCCAGCTGTTTCATGATTTACAAAATTATCTTGTAAAAATTTGTTTCTGTAATAGATTTGTCGAAAGGATGTTTCTTCCAGGAAGGAAACTCCACGAAGGTATAGCATATTTAATATATAAAAATCGTACGAAACTATAGATCAGTTCAAGAGTTACGATAATCATATGGTTCAATATATATGATCAAGATAATGATTCCCATTCGATTGGATCGGACACATCGAGCGTTGCAAAGAATTACAGGAGGTCGCCACGCTCGACGACCTTCCTTTGACTTTGGGACGCCAACTTATCGCGGCTTGGCCTCGTCGAGCTGTGATCGGTTTTGTGACGTTACGTGTCTCGTTCGTAAAGGGTTAGCAAGGCTTGTCATATCTGGCGGTACACACCTCTTCTCCAGGAATATCGCGCTAAACGGAGTAATAAGAAAAAATACCACCGCAATGGCACTCAACAAGCTCAGCATTGATAAGGTGGAGTTGGCGGACAAGAGGGTGCTTATACGGTATGTGTGTGGTTCTCTGAAAGGTCTTTTTTCTGTTTTGCTGGACTCACTTATGGCTTTTGCTAAATTTTATATGTTGTCCTATACAGCACAAATCATTCCAGCATTATTGCAATAATATTGCAGCAACATTGCAATGTTCCAACAATATTACAGTAACAGTGACAGTGTTCAGCAGAGAAAATAACTTTGCAACTGTTGTTCTTTATAATATGATTAATTTACACATTTAGATCCGATGAAAGGCAAGGTCAATCATATTGAAGAATTTTACAACAGTTGCAAAACTGCTCTTTCTGCTGAATGCAGTCATTACTAATGTTGTAGCAATGTTGCTGCAAGTTTAGTGCTGTATATTTCATTTGAATATAAAAAGTGTACAAAATAGTTTAGAAAAAACAGAATCTTTTTAAGAAAAGAAGGCAGCAAGTAATTAGCAAAGTACACAAATACATGCATATAATAGAAATGTAATAGAACAAAATAACTTTTCAGGGTTGATTTCAATGTGCCACTGAAGGAGGGTAAGATAACAAATAATCAGAGAATAGTCGCTGCGCTGGACACAGTGAAATATGCTATTGATAAAAAGGTCAAGTCAATCGTGTTAATGTCCCATCTGGGCCGACCAGACGGTAAGAGGGACGAGAAGTATACATTGAAACCTGTGGCTGAGGAATTGAAAACTCTGTTAAGAAGAGAGATTCTGTTTTTAAATGACTGTGTCGGACCAGAAGTAGAAACTGCTTGCGCCAATCCAGCACCTGGTACTATTATTTTGTTGGAAAATCTGAGATTTCACGTCGAGGAGGAGGGAAAAGGAGTAGGTCCCGATGGAAATAAGGTATGAAAGATTATTTTCATTACTCAAATATTTTAATTACTTTAATCCTGTACAGTCTGGATGTTTTTTGACACAAGCTAAATTGAACAAAAGTAAAAAATTTTATGCTCAACATTTTTTTTGTTCAAATTTCAATTTTTATTATAATAAAGATTTTAAAACAAATTAACATTTGAGTTAAAAAAAGTATTTGATAATATAATAGAGATGTTAGAAAGTAACCCTAAATTTTCCACATTTTTTGAAATCTTAGAATAGCAAAAAAAAACTTTAGTCGTACAAAAAAGATGGATGAATTTGATTACAGATAGAGGAAGTAAAAATATGATTGCAGATATTAATTTAATTCTTAGGATTGGGTTATTCATGTCCTATTTTTTTGAAATATTAGGAGCTAAATAAAAGTCTTTTTTTCTTTTTTTAATTAAAGTATATGTAAGAATCACTTCATAATTTTTGTATGCTTGTAAAAATGATGAAAATTAATTTTAAACATGAAGGATCCATCGTGTGTAGTAAAAGACTGAAAAATTATGTATATTAAGAATTAATTCAATGTAAATTATCTTAAAATATATAAAAGTATGACACTTAAGACTAATATATCAATTTATTTTAGATTAAAGCTGACAAAGATAAAGTTACTGAGTTTAGAGCATCTTTGAGAAAACTAGGAGATGTGTATATAAACGATGCCTTTGGAACTGCTCATCGTGCTCATAGTTCTATGATGGGAGATGGATTTGACATAAGAGCAAGTGGTTTTCTGTTGAAGAAGGAACTCGCATACTTTGCGAAAGCTCTGGATAATCCAGAAAGACCGTTTTTAGCTATACTTGGAGGGGCTAAAATTGCTGATAAGATTCAATTAATTAATAATCTTCTGGACAAAGTGAACGAAATGATTATTGGAGGTGGTATGGCCTATACATTCTTAAAAGTATCCAAAGATATGAAGGTACGTAATATTTGATAAGAATTGCAAACAATACTGATATCTGTAATTAAATATTTCTGACTTTTATGTTTATGTGTTTCTAGATTGGGAACTCATTGTTTGACGAAGAAGGAGCAAAAATTGTGAACGATCTATTAGATAAAGCAAAAAAGAATAATGTCCAAATTCATTTGCCGGTGGATTTTGTGACCGCCGATAAATTTGCAGAGAATGCGACAGTAGGAGATGCGAATGTTGAGAGTGGTATACCCGATGGATGGATGGGTCTTGATATTGGTCCAAAGTCAAGAAATTTGTTCGCAGGTAAATACATTGTTTTCATTACTTATAACAAATTATTGTAAATTTTTCAAAAAATATACAGTAACTACCAAAAATTTTCAACTAATGAGTAATTATATTCTTTAGATAAAAAATTTTTATAAATAAAAGCTCTAATATAAAAATATTTAATACATATATTCTATTTAAAAGTATCGTGTTCTTTTTTTTTTAGTTACATATTCAAATTAATTATCACAAGAATTTTATTAACTTATAAACTGAAAAACAGATTAACATACAAAAATTATTTTAAAAGTATATGTTTTTTTGCTGCTTTAAACTTTACTTGCTTTAAACTTTTAACAGCCACCGTATATGTAATAATGCATTAAGTATTAAACATTAGAAGCATTACTAATTATATTATCTTGATATAGAACCAATTAAGAGAGCAAAGGTGATAGTATGGAATGGTCCAGCGGGAGTGTTTGAGTTTGAGAACTTCAGTAAGGGTACGAAAAGTTTAATGGACAATGTCGTTAAAGCCACAACTCAGGGAACGATTACTATTATCGGTGGAGGTGACACGGCAACGTGTGCAGCTAAGTGGAAAACGGAGGATAAAGTGAGCCATGTGAGCACCGGTGGTGGTGCAAGTTTAGAACTTCTGGAGGGTAAAGTTTTGCCTGGAGTTGCCGCTCTCTCTTCATCGTAAATCTGTCTTCGAAATATTAATGTGAAATAAAATAATGACCAATCGTTCTGTGACGTAACATTCATCAGTTCTATAGAAATTTAACGAGTAGCGTTCGGATGTTGGGGTCATGATTTCTTCCACCATGATCGGAGTGACCGAGATTTTAGTCGATTTTGGCGTTAGTGAGATTAATGTAAAACAAAGACATATCTATTTTTTATTTTTAACTTATCAATGTAATCATGTTGCTTTGTTTTTCTAACATTCTTTTACAAGAAATATTGAAGTTATACGTTGGCATACTCTTAGATCTCTATGATACAATTGTATTGCTGTACAGTTTAGTACATAACGCATCAGATGTGTATATTATGTGCGAAAATATAATATACTAAGACAATATGTATCTTCTAGCTATCTCATTAACTATTAAGTAAATAATTGTAAGGAGAGACAGTTGCCGTTATACTAATAATGTAATCGTCCCTGCACGGTAAAAAGTTCGCTCATAGTTTGAACACAAACTTCGGATTACTCTGCATCGTATTAAAATGTAAATATAACTTTTATTTAATAGAGTAATTATATACTTTCGGCCATCTGTATAATGTCGAAAATAAATACTGAACGCATTTTTATGCCTTTTTTCATACCTGTGTACTAAACGGTTTGACATATGTATATGTAATTGTGAAATTATATTTTTACAGTGAATAAGTGTATATATATATATATGCAAGATGTACAACATAACAGTGCGCACAATTTTTGAGGCATTTCCGATAAAATTTCGTTTAAAGAAATTGGAAGGTTGTAGGATGAATATACATCTATTTCATACAAACTACAACAAAAATAGAAAAAAAACATTTTTTAAATAAAAAATTATAACTTTCAAGCCTTATAACGAAAAGTACTTAATGAAAAAGAATTTTATTGTGGTATTCTGAAAAGAGAGAGTTCTCGAGGTAAGTTATTACAAGAATATGTAATGAAAAATAGTATTCTATTTAAAAAATTCAAAGTAACTATGTGTGCTCTGATCTTGATGAAGCATACTTAAAATGCGTTTTTATGGGCGTCAAGACAATTTTGTGATGTCATGTAAAGAGTCCTCTACATAGAAGTACTTCGTAGACGGTCGTGGAGTCTTAAATTGTAGAAAGCTGACCAATTCTAATCGAGTATTCTCCTTATATTCGATTGTGATTGGTTTCCTACGACTTAAGACTCCACGACAGAATTCCCATCACATGATCTGAGATTTCGACCAATCAGAAATTAAGCTTATTTGCAGCGTAAACGAGTCATGTGGATCATTTAAATTACCGCAAATGAACTCAGTACTTGATTGGTTGACAGATCTCCCTACTACTTTCAACAGTTTCAACTCACTGCGCATCCGCATCGTCGGAATGTCCACCATGCGTCCATGAAAAAGCATGTTGTCATTCGCATTGTATTGCCATTGTATTATCAAGTATGGCGGCGGCCGTGGCAGTGAAGGATCTTAACACTTTTCTCAGCCAAAAGCAAAATGTTGCCGATAAGGAGCTGGCCGCAGAGTGGGCACAGCTTGAGGAGCTGTACGGTAAACGGTAATACGATAATACAATATTTCATGCAAATGGATTTCACAGGATAATGAAATGTAATAAACCTCGGTGACTTGCAGGCTTTGGCATCAGTTAACGTTGAAACTGGAGACGTTTGTGAAACATCCGGTGCTCCAGCAAGAGGATAATCTTGTGCAACTCTACGTCAACTTCTTGTCAACCTTTGAAAACAAGTGAGCATTATCGACTATGGCTTTGTTTCATTGTATATACACATAAGGCCTGTTCTTTTTGACTGAATTTTTGCGTCAGTTCATTTTTCTTCTTTCTTCGTGGAAAAAAAAGGAAGAAAGATGAACTGGTATAAAGGTTTAGCCAAAAGAGAACAGGCCTATAACGTGCATGAAGTATCATTTTATCTTTGTTGTTTGTAAGTTAAACAAGGATAAAATGATACTTCATGTGCATTATACATGCAACAGAATACAGCCTATATTTAGAAAATATCATTAAGATCTTATATTATATACAATATAAATTCTTAATCTCTATTTATATTAATTTACGTATTGCTCTTTCTTAATCTTATTTTATTAAACAATAATAAAATATTACTAAATGAGTAATAAAAGCATTAATACAGCATGGTTATTGGAGCGCAACTCATATAATATATTATCAATAATTTTATATAGAATATCGGTACAAATTGAACATTTTGGTTTCTTTCAAATCATTAGCAATATTATAAAATATAGATAATTTATCATCAACATATTACAAGATTCATAGTCTGCAGTTGTTGGAAATAATTTCTATAATAGACCGAAATAATTTCTATAATTGCCAAAATGTCTCTTCGCTATTTAACCAACAGACATTTTGATAATTCTCAACCAGAAAGCAGGGAAATGCTCATCCTCTGTCTATTATAGAAATAATTTTCAACAACTGTAGACTATGAATCTCATAAGACATTGATGGTGAATTATCTATAGCATTGCTGATAATGATTTGAAGGAAACCAAAATGTTCAATAAATTTGTATCGATACTCAATGTAAAATTATTGATTATATATGAATTGTACTCCAATTACTAAGTTAACGCTCTCATTATCTGTTTATAAATATTTTATTGTTGTTTGAATTTTGAGAGCCCTATTAAATAAATTTTTGTTTTTATTTTATTGAGATTGTATTTTTGAAGAACAAATTCTATTAAGATTATATGTTTTTGAAGAATAAATCCATTGTCATTGGTGGAGATATTGGCACATGTAATCCCACAATTACAAGATAATCAAGATGCGATTAAATTCTTGGAGAAGACTGAGACAAAGGTCCAAAGCAGCAATGAAGCTGTTGCTCTTTGTAAAGTTCTCAAGGGTCAAATTCTGTTGGATAAACTCAACAATCAGGAACAAACAAAGAAAATCATAGAGGACGTAGAAGCTATGTTGGACAACGCCGATGGCATTACGACGGTTCATGGACGTTTTTACCTTCTTGCCAGTCGGTTATATAGATTACAAGGCAAACACGCGGAATATTATCGTACAGCGTTAAGGTACTTTTATATGTATTAAAATAATTTTACCTACACATATTTTGCTTCTTAAGTAAAGATTTTGAGCGCGGAAAAAATCGCATATATGTAAGGCACGGGTAGAATCAAACCTGGATTCATGGATTGCTAATCCATGAATGGTCGAGAACGAAGCCACTTAATTCATACCATACTTTTATAAATAACAAATATAAATTCATTGTAAAATGATTCCACGAAATCTATAAATTTTGTATAATTGATTAGAACTAATATGATCTTTTTCATCGAATATTCTTCTTTTTATCATTAAGGTATCTAGGATGCATCGAATTGAGCAGTTTGAACAGACAAGAGCAAGAACAGCATGCTTTCTTTCTCGGACTTGCGGCGCTTTTGGGTGAAGGCGTCTATAATCTCGGAGAATTACTAGCACATCCAGTTTTGGAATCGTTAAAAGGCACGCCAAACAACTGGCTTGTCGATTTATTACAAGCCTTCAATGCCGGCGATATCGTTGCGTTAGAGAGATTGAAGCCGCAATGGAGCAAAGTAGCTGATCTAGCAGCACAAGAATTAAAATTGAGACAAAAGATCTCATTGCTGTGTCTCATGGAAATGACTTTTAAGCGGCAAGCTAACAATCGGTACATATAATTCAAATATTTCAGTTATGAGCATGCAGTACTAGAGCTGCACTCACTTTGGACATCTTTCTTTAACATATGATGAGCAATAAAGATAAAATAAAGAAACAGCGTGTAAACGCTCAAAGTGAATACAGCCTGGGTTTCAAATTCTCAAAAATTAAATTTACTTAATAATAATATAAATATATATATGTTTCTAATTTAGACAACTGACGTTCACGGAGATCTCTCAAGAAACACGTCTACCTCTTGGTGAAGTAGAATTGCTAGTGATGAAAGCTCTTGCCCAGGGTCTCGTGCGAGGTGCTATAGATCAAGTGGCGGGTACTGTCAATATGACTTGGGTGCAACCACGTGTCCTAGATCGCAGTCAAATCGCCGGGATGGTACAACGTCTTGATGTATGGTGCAAAGATGTTAGTTCGATGGAGAAACTCTTGGAATCAAGAGCCTCTGAAATTCTCACTCTCTGAGAATACAGATCACTTTCGGTTTACTTGTTTGTTATGTCGGCAGAATGTTGGTTCGCAATTATAAAATCAGTTTCTTAACACGTCGCCAATAAATACGAACAATTATTTATTACATGTGCACTTAGAATTCTTCGTGTATCTTTTCTCTTCTTTCGATTAAAAACAAAAAACAGGTTGGTATCAGTTGTAATTTTTTTATATTAAGTTATAAGAAAATACAAAATAGAAACAAGAAGTAAATGTTTTATTTGAAAATTGGTGAAAATACATCATTCTAATTGTCAGTGCGTTTTATGTTGGTAAATATCGGTAATGAATGCTAAATGCTGTTCTGTTTTGTATAATATTAAGTACCTGTACTTAAGTACAGTTTATGAGTTATACAATTTTAAGTAAAAATAGCATATAGCAAATATATTATTAGTCCTCTTTACAACTATCTTATACGTATTACATGTAACAAATAAACAATCAAGCAATGAATTGGATTCGATATGATTAGCAACAATTTGGGATAGTCTTATAATAAATATATAAAAGCTAAAAAGTGATTAAACATATGTCTTATGAATTTTTTCACAATTTGAGCACATGATTCTATACACTCAGAAGTTTTTTCAGATTTTTTTTCAACTTCAATCCCTTATTAAAAAGGAACATATTATTTTTAAAAATTACTAATGTCTCGTCATCATTTATCTTTTGAAATAAAAAAAATTAAATACATTTTAGTATTTTTTTGGTTTTGACTATTAATCGTTAACACAGTAAAAGTACTGAACGAAGATCCATACATTTAAGTACATGCTTATTCTATATCACATGATTGACTTTCCATTTACTCTCGATCTACTCTCCTTGCTCACATTGTATATTGTATACAAACAATGCACCTATTGCATTGGTTAGCGAGGAGCAGCGGACTACATTATTTCGTGATGTATGAAATAATGACTTAACTCAATTAAGAGTTATTCGCTGCTCATTAGAATTAATGCCATCAGTTAGAATCGATGCATTAAACGAAACGAGCTACTTATGTAGCGAAATGTTATATAAATTTGCGAGTGCATCGCCTCCCTTATTCAATCTTGTTCTTTCAGTCTATATCTATAGACTTTCTCTTTAAGGTATTATCCGAGCCTGGTAATCCAGAGATAAGCAACTTCTCTTTCAGATACATGTAATTCTTCAATCTACAGGTAGCATAATCCTAAAACATGTAACAATATTCATATATTTAAACAGATCCAATTGGACATAGCCAATTCGAAAAGTAAGGATGAATCAAAACAAAATACGTACCCAGTAGCCAAATGGAATCTGTGACAGTTTCGCGTTTACGATACTCCAGAGACCCCAGAATAAGTGACTAGCTAGTGAGAATATCCTTACTTCCATCATAATACGCTCTT